CAGCAGCCGCAGCCGCAGCGGCAGCAGCAATGTGGCATCATGCTGTAGCGGCAGCGGCAACTTGCAGCAGCATGCGGCAGCGGTAGCGGCAGCGGTAGCGGCAGAAGCAGCGCCGATGGCCATGGTGATCGTGGTGGGGGTGGTGGTGATGATGCTGATCATCATCACTGTTATCAGTCTCATGAACCATGGCTCATCATTGACTCATCATGCATCCTGATGATCATGCTAGCACAGCACAATACCCCAACAGCTGACAAGCTCATAAGCCTGGAAGTCCAGCAGCTGTGAAACCAACCCAACAAAGCAGAAAGCACCGAAATTACAAAGACCCGGGAGTTATGGATTCGAAAATTTCAGAAGCCAGCAGGGGTTGTCAGGATTCCCCAACGAAATTCTTCAGAGTGGGATGTCCCGTTTGTCTTTTGGATTCCTGGCAAATCCAAGATTTCATAGTGCCTTGAGGGGCAAACAGAGTGACTTCCTCAGATTTTCATTTTCTAGGAGGTCAGCAGAAGGCAAAGTCTTTGCACTGGCAGCAAGTGGACTCCAAGCGGTATTAGCCGTATTTTCTGTATCCATAAGTTGGGGCGATCTGCCGCCTTTTGCGTCCCTGCTCCATGTTCAGATTGTTGATGCAAGTGTACGCATTTGCATCTAGAAGTTCAGCTGCAGGTGGCCCTTTGCCGGCTGTACCGTCTTGCGCTGAGACACGGCATATTTGTTTTGAAATGGAAGTCCAAGAACTTCAAGTTGTGGACATGTGGTACATAAACCAACAAGTCAAAGATCATGTAGGCCCACAACACAGCCATTCACTACCTAGCTCAGGTTGGGTTAACCAATCTTAACAGGGTCTGATGGTCACAATTTCTCCTTAAGGCTGTTGGCCCGAAGAGCTCCCGAGTCAAAGCGGAGAGCCAATCCTGCCATGGACCGAGATCCAGTTACCATGCTGCAATGCACTGCGAGCTGATAGACTCAGGGGCTTGCGTCCGAAGTCGGACGTTCAAGCCCCATGCAGATTCAAGAGACCTACAGAGAGGTAATTCGAAAGTTATTACACTACTGAGTTTTTTGTGCGCGGAATTTTGATGTCATATTTGTCTGTTGTATGTCGAACTGTGAAAGCGGATTGGGAGACGGTACCGAGATTCTTTTGCATGTGCAGGTTCGGTGGGCCTGGCAACATGTCCTTAATGCAAAGTAGGCTCCCACCATCCCTCCCATTAGCCTGTCTTTTGCCAAGTTTGTCGTCTGTTTAATTTTTGAAAAAGGTTTGGGCCATTGCTTTCAGCAACTACCGGCTGCAAAAGAAATTTCCTGTTTTGATCCTACTCACAGCTGTCATCAAAGGTAAGGTTTGACATTTGGCATTGCAAATCTTGAGAACACAATTCCCAACTTTGTCCGACTTTTTTTCGATGCAGATGCGACAAAGTCATCGCCTTGTCAGTGAACGTATACCGTTGCAAGATTGACCAGATCATGTTTTGGGAATGCCCGCGAGGCCCAAGCGAACGAACATACAAGCAGCATGGCAAGTTGTAGCTTTCACATCGCTTGCTTGTTCGCATGAGGCGTACTGCTTCTGTGTGGATCAGATGTTGGGTGGCAGGAATGTAAAGTCCATACTCAATCTTGGGTGGCACCGCGTCATCACGTGACTTTGGCGCAGGCTGCAAATCCAAGAAATGTTGGGAGCAACTGCTGGGCACCGCGTCCATTTGAATGTGCCGGTTCCACGAGTTGAGCCTACGGAAGATGGAAGAATCCCCAGTTTTAGAAACATCTACGCCAAGCAGCCCGTCATCGATGAATCTGGCATAGAACTTGCGGCTGTTGCGAGCGAAGATATGACATGGAGAGCACATTAGCGAGGTGTGAAGTAGCGTGCAAGCCAGTGCTGAGACCTGGCCAGGCTTCATATAACATGCGGCTCCATCGTAATGCACAGACTGGTTGCTCAGAATCATATGTAAGATGGAATCCAACAGCAAAGCCAAGTTGTGGTCAATGGCATTATTAGTACCAAGTTGTGGTCAATATTGCCATAAAGCTACCAGATACGCTCGCTGATAATTTGATACAACGAATGGCCACGTCCGTCGGCTCATACTGGCAAGTTGGGATACAAGGCAACAGTGTCAAAAACTACCAGACGGTCATCGGGTCCAGGTCCAAATGATTCGGCCCAATTAATAACTGCCAAGTATGCAGTAATCACATCGCGACCATATCCCTCAAGCAAGCAGCGAGAATAAAATCCTGCATTGCGCAAGCAAAACCTGCTATCGTCGCGCATCGGCCTACTATGCAATGCTAGCTTGCGGATCTTCACATTGATGCAGAAGGCCGGAACGGCATCAGATTGTAACTCATCCAGCTACTGCGCTGGCCTTGTCTACCGAGCTTTCTGTAGCGACAACTTTGGCTGCATGCTGCAAGTACTATGCATGATAGATTGGGCCAACCATTGGCGGTATTGCCATCAATCCAGAGAGCAGAAAAATCAATGTGCGGCATTGCGCATCAATCCAGGGAGCAGAAAACAAATCAAAGCCTAATTCTTGTCTGTGTCAACAACCTTGATTGTCTCAACATGCGTTTCAAGCCATCGCATAGCTTTCAAATCCAAACGAGTGAAGTTCTTTGCCGTCTTACAGGCAGCGGGCCACGAGCCAGTAATCTCGGCTTTTG